TAGGTGGTGGGTTGTTACTGCTACAAGGCTAAGTGGCAGGGGTGGGTCTTTACATACGGTGAACTGCGATGAATATATGTGTTCTTGTAGGAAGTGGCAAGAGTACCGGATGCCTTGTACACACTCATGACCAACGGTCCCGATGAGCAACAATGGCCGACAGTCTATTGAAATATTAGTCCGAATTATGAGTGTCTTGTTTTGAATGCAGGACCAGGACAAAAACAAAAAAGGAAACATAAAATGCAAATGGATTACAGGGGACGCCGAAGCCGGGGGGAATGTTGGAGATGCAGACAACAAGGTCACGATGCCAATTCTTGTCCTTACTCGCACCCAGGATTAGATAGAAGACCTGTGAATGACAGCTACAATTGAAAGACATTTAGTGTTCTTGTTATTTGGAATGACCATGTTATTTGGAATCACGACTGTTTCATTAGATGTCCTATAACTTTTTGTATTGATAAATTCGAATTGTAATGTTAACATTGAATTGTTGGTACTGTGATTGTGATGAAAATAGATACTAGTTGTTGATAACAGGTTTTGGGATTGTGCAAAAATAAAATTGGACATTTTGTGTTTTTGTATTGGGCTCGAATTTCTGACATCCGAATGTAGGAATTTTGTATTGAGTCCGAATTTCTAAAATCCGAAATAAGCCCTATTTTCTGCAACAAATAATTCGGATTTCCGAAACCGAGTTATCCTAATTTGTACTAAATTCAGATTTCGAAAATCCGTACTCAAAAAATCCATCCGAGAGTGTGTAATTTTGGGAGAAACAGGGGAGATTCGAATTTTCCTATTACGGTTCAACTCTTCCCCAATTCATTTTCTCCCGTCCCCAAATTGAAAAACCCTATATCCCCCAAATTGAAAAACCCCTGCTTCGACCGGTGACAACCTTCGTTGTTCCACCGCCCTTCCTCGCCCGGCGACTCAATCCACCACCCACATTGAGCTCCCGTCCGTCCGGCGACTCCTTCCCGTCCGTCAGCAGCTCCAGCAATCGAGTCCCCTCGCTCCGGAGACTATGTCACCACTGTCGCCCCTCCTCTCACTGCCGGCGAAAGACTCACTGTCACCATCCCATTACCGCCGTCCTCTCCGTCCCATTGTTGTCACCATCCCACTGCCGAAATCCTCTTTGTCACACTACCGGCGTCTGGTGAGTTTTTTCCTTCTTTTTTTTAAGATTTGGATTTTGCAAATTTTTTCATTTTAATTGATGTTTTTTATTGGTGGAATTGTGAAATCCGAATGCAGTATAAGCCCTTATTTTTTGTTGAGTTGTTTTTTGCCGAATTGAAGTATTGTGCATAGTTTGAATTGAATTGTGAATTGTGAAATCCGAATTTAGTACAATAATCTTTATTTTTTGAATTTAAATTAGAATGGCATGTGAATTAGTTGATATTGATATGCAAATGGTGTATTTTTGTGGTTGTTGCATAGGTTTGCAATGGCGAGTTCATCTAGTTTAGTTTAGTTTATTTATGCTTTTAGTTGAGTTTTTAGAAACATGTTATAGCTTGTGGTAATGATTATTATTATTTTTTAGCTTCTATGTAATTTAATTTAGTTATGCTTTTAGTTTAGTTTAGTTTAGTTATAGATTTTGGATTTATTTTATGCTTTTAGTTTAGTTTATGTTATAGTTTTAATTGTGGAATTGTGAATATAGTGAATATATATGTCCATAATATTGATGCGCAAATGTTTCTTTTGTTGCCGAATGTAGGATTGCAATGACTAGCTCATATAGCTCGCAATATAAAACTAAACATCTTCAACCGGGGCGGTACAAGAAAAAGTAATATACCTTCATAGAAGCCATAGGTCCCAAGCTGTCTTTGAGAACAAGATCTACAACATTAAAACATTCCGCCTCAAGGGCCGTAGATACGATAGCTCATTTTGGGAGTTATACAATGATCATACGGCACCAGAGGTTAAGGAAATCATTAAAAGAGTCGGTTTTGAGGGGATAATGAATGAGTGGATCTCGGTCTCATAACGGTGGAGGCCAGAAATCCACACTTTCCATTTCAATTTTGGAGAGACGATGTGACACTACAGGATGTCGAGGTCCTCTTTGGTATCCGGGTGGATGGTGAGCCGGTGTATGGGACGACAGTTAACCGGAATGCAGAGGAATGGCGGGGCGAGATGTGAGACTTATTTGGGATTCCGGCTAGCCGCAGTAAATGGCCAATTTGTCAAGATTGGTGTTTTCGAGGATGAGATGAAATGTTCACTCCGTGAGGATTCCCCAGTCGAGCGACTCGAGCAAAGGGCCCGGACAATAATCCTGCATTTTATGAACAGTTTCGTGTTTCCTACAAAGAGTCAAAACACTGTAAATCTACAGTTGTTGGCACAGGTTGAGGATTTGGAGCAGTGTAGTTGATACAGTTGGGGACCGGCCCTACTGGCTTGTTTGTACTCTGGCATGTGCGAGGTAACCCAATACACCATGCACGACATCACTGGCTATGTAAATTTGCTACAGGTACGTATTAGTTTTCATTTGGTGTTATGTTATAATTATTTTTATTTTTGACACTATAATTTGAAGTGTTAACATTATTATTGAAATTTACTAGGTATGGGCGTATGAGCGTTTCTCGAGAATCGAGCCAAAAGAGTAACACTGGATTATATACTAGATGATACTGCTCCATTAGCTCAGTGGTGCGTATTTTCATTTCAACATAACTCAATGTTTAACCTATTTTATTCTTATTCTAATTTTTTCATTAATTAAAATGTAACCCTTTCGTATTTGTTCATTAAGGTGGGAATGTTCGTACACCTACGAAGATGTCCGAAGAAGCAACTTGGCACCTTTTAGAGATCAATTAACAAGTTTTCATCTTGGAGATGCAAGTACTTAATTTGGTATTTATATTTATCTTAAATTTTTTTCCGGTTATCATGCAGTTTCTGTGGCAACCATATGCAAGTGTCCTTCCTAAACTCCCTAATTTCTGTAAACAAGGCCAAGCCATTTGAACGAACAGATGTTGGATGTTCTGTTGAGCTGTTAGGGAACCCCACGAGTCGCTCAGGGTTGTGAGACAATTTGAATTCATACAGGGTGTTTCCCGTGACCATATGATTAAAGATCGCACATCATTTCTACTTGATCACGCCCACAACATGTTTGGACTACCTAGCAACAATTGGGTGGATCACCATTCCAGAGTACGTCCTCACTGGAACAAGTGAGAAAAGTACGTTCCAAAAGATTTGGAGGTTAGATTCCCTGGCCAAACATATGAGGGGTACTATGAATGGTTCATGATGAATACTATCATGCTTATATCCAATCCCAAAAATTATGAAGCTAAAGGATATGATACTTCTTTGAGCGAGTGAAATTATATGTGAGTTCATTATTTTTTTTTGGTCTTTTATTTCTTATATTTTCCTTTTATTTATTTTTTTTTATCTTTTTATGATTTTTGTATTTTACTCTTTTAATTAACGTTCTAATTTCTTTCAGGGTGAAGTATTAAACAATATTCGCGTGAGCTCCGAGCAGTTTAGAGATGACAGAGACAAGAATAATCTCCTAGACGATCAACTCGAGGAGCATTTGAACGAAATCATCGATCAAACACATGTTGCTTTAACCTTGAGACCAAATGATGAGATTAACATGGACGATACTCAAATCCTAGTTGATGACAAACCGCCTTTGTCCTCAAAACTTGCGCCGAGTAAATAAGTGAAACTGTGGCCGAGAGAGAAGATTGGAGGAGGAAGAAAGAGAAAAATAGTGATTCCCCCTCGGTCATCGCAAGAATAAAATGAGGGAGACGGATCAAGTAATCAACAACAAGAGGGCGAGGTGCATTCTTCTAGAGGCTTGCACATCCAGGTCGAGACTTAATTTGAAGACATTGGTGGACCTGAGACTCAATTTGAAGAGTCACAACCACAGACAGGAGTCCTACTTCTCACCATGGGAGAGTCCCAATCCCAACCCCAACTCCAACTGCGTCAACAACAGGGTTCAATACTGGCGTATCTTTGGAGGGAAGACAGGATCCGCCAGGTGCCAAATAACTACACTTCGGATGCGCCTAGGAAATGAAAAGGGAAAAAATGAGCCCCTTGATGTATTTTTACATTGAAAGTAGTTTTTGGATTAATACTTGTTATGTTTATTTGTTAATCGAATGATGTTTATTGTTTTGTTGTAATTAGATTTATGTTTTTCTAAGTTTCATTGTTGTTGGTGTTGTATACAGGTTTTGGACTGGTTAAAACCAGTCCAATTTTTTTTTTCAATTCTGACAAAGATCCGGATTTCGCAAATTCAAAGTTTTGCTTTTTGTAAAGGACTCGGATTTTGCAAATCTGAATCAATGGCTAACTGGGAGTTTCAGTTTCTCAAAGAAACATGGGAGAACCGGATTTCGAAAATCCAGATTTACTGAAAGTCGGATTTCCGTAATCCGTCTTTACCAAAGAGGGGATTCGGATTTACAGAACCCGTTTGCACCCTAAATCGTATTTCCGTAATCCGAGTTGCCCAAAAATATTTTCTAACACTTATAATTTTTTCACCCCACCGGAAATTAAAAAGTCGGATTTACAGAGTCCGAATTTATATTAATTATACTAAATATTTTCATTAATTTAATCTCTGATTAACTCTACCCTAAACCGGATTTCAGTCATCCGAGTTTAGTTGGATCCGAATTTTGAAAATTCGGCTGTCACCTTGATTCGGATTTTTGAAATTCAGGGCACACATTTTTGTCCGCATAATTTCTGATAGGTTTTTTTTTGTCCATATCCTTAATGTGCAAACATATTTAAGTCAAAAACTCATAAAGATAGACGACCCAGGCGGGGATTATGGTTTTGAAAAATATTAGGGTTCGGTTTGAAGTTTCATCGAATTTAGAGGACAACCTATACCTATACGTAATTTGCCCTATGAATGATATAAATTAAATCTCAAAAAAGCGTAACCCTAAATCAGCGAAAAGCTTCTTGGAATTTCGAGTTTTAGCGCAAAGATGCCCCAAAGAACAGAAATTTCCCTCAAGATGCTATCAAGGAAAAAAGCTTGGCGTAAGATGCTGGGAAAAAAGAGAAGTTCGCGGAAGAAGAGTTCCTTGAAATCAAACGAAAAGGTAAGATCTTTCTGGCTCTAATCCCCTTTGCTTCCTTGAATTATGAAGTATCCTTTGCTGTTCGATTTTTTGTTCGATGAGATGTATGTAATATATGTACATATATACATATAGATTTATTTATTTATTTTACCTTTGATTATGTTCTTTTTGCTGATTGAAGGCAAAAATGATGAAACTTCCGTTGCCCGGTGAATCTTCCAGCACCGCCCCAGATTCGCAGATTATCTCCCCTATGGTTAGCTCGTTTGCTCCTTTTTTTGATTATTTTATTTGCTTATTTCGTAATTACATGGCAACGCTGCGTCCAATTTGGGTTGTGTTTATTTCGTTTTGTTTGTTTTTTTTTTTTTTTTTAATATTTATCTTGCTTGATTGTAGAAGACAATCTCATACGGTGAATCTCACCACTTGCCTGCTGGCTTATGCTCTGTCCAGACTGTGTTCACTAGGGTTAGTTTCCTTTTAACTCCTTTATTATTCAAAATGTATTCACCCTAATTGTAAACGGCCTAACGAAGCCTTTGGTTCTTTTTCCCTTTTATCTTTGGGGAAAAAATATTCTCTCAGGGCTGGGTGTTGCAATGGGCTTGTAATTTGGCTTTCTCTATTTGTTTGGGTCATTCGTATGTTGTTTGTCATATATGTTGTTTGTCGTGTTCTCCTTTAGGAGTATGAAGAATGTAAAGAAAGAGAACGTAGGAAAGAGGTGGGCCCCACAGCCTTTTCGTTCGTCTATGGAGGAGGGGTTATTCTATGCGCTAATCATTCACTTTCTATCAACGAGGATTGCAGACCAGGATCTATGAAGTCTGTCCAAAACGTTATTGCTCTTAATTCTAGCTTGATTGCCTCTGTATCTGGAGAAGACGTTGAGAAATGCAAGTTATTGCTCAAAGATCTGCAGAGGAAGTGCCTCAATTATGAACGCTTTAAGGGGAGAAGAATTTCCATTGCAGAAGCATCACAGTTGATGGTCATGGTTCTGTTGTCCCGCAGCGAAGTGGGTTTGCTAGCAGGGTGGGATGATAAAATGGTAATGGTTACTTTTCTTTCTTTGCATGGAATTATGTAGGCTAGCTTTCAAGCATTTGGTTTTAGCCCTGTTAATCTAATTGGCTTATTTGTTCTTTTGTAGGCCGGGTGTCTTGTATAAAGTGGATGGTGAAAAGGCTGTGCCGTCAAGAATGCATGCCACTGGATTTGGTACTCAAGGCGTGTATGGCGCTATGACTAGTATCAAGTTAGATGGCAGGTACGCCTCTCTTTTGTTGTCCTTGTTCAGTGTGTGTTTATTTAAGGTACATTTCATAACTTTTTAGTCATCTTGATTTGTTATTTTTTTAGTTATCGGTACGATATGTCTTTGGTGGAAGCTGCCGAGGTAGCCAAACAAGCAATATGCTATGGGTTGCGCTCTTGTGATGAAAGAGAGGATTTTGCCAGTGTTTTCCATGTTGGACCTGAGGGGTTGGATGTGGTTGATGGTGAAATAGATATAGAGAAAGCCTGGCGGGGGTATAGGTTACCACTTCCAGACTACAGATACCATGGAGAGTATTCCAGGAAGGAAATTGGAAAGCTTAAACTCCTCTTTGGTATTGGCTATGATTCGGAAAAAATGTCGTTCCTACCCAAAACTTTGCCCTCGTCGTCAATCATACCCAATAGATTTTCGGTCAGTCAACTTTACCCTAATGTTTGAAATTTTCGCCAATTTTGTCCAATCGGCCTATTTTCCGTCCAAATTAACGGATCTCCGTTAGATTTTTAATAAAATAATAAACTTAAATTCAAAAACACCCCAATAGTTTGTAAAAATTTTAAAATAACCCCTAAAATATATAAAAATAACAAAATAGTCCCTTTTTACTTTTTTATTTCATTTTCTCTATTTTGTTCCATTTCTCTCAACTACTTTTAATGACCATAAAAATATATTATATCAGTTTAAAAAAAATATTTATTTATTTCAAAAATCTACTGTAAAAGTTAATCTTTGTATAGTTGTAACTCATGATTGTATTTCTATAAGCATGTTAATTTTTTTAATAATATAGTTTAGCAATAAAGATACTATTTTTTTTATTTATTTTGTTCTTCCTAACGTAAAGATTAAAAACATTTAAAAGTTTTTAAAAAATATTCCACATAAAAATAAAATATTAGCTAAAATAAAAATTAATATATCAGTATAGTTTGGTGTATTACAATTTAACTAGAGAGACTACATGGCATAATATAATTTATAAAAAATATGTTTATACTTATCAATGCGAGGATTTAATATTTTGTAATAATTATTTGAGATGTTAATATATTTAACTAAGAGGAAGTCTTACTAGCTTATTCTATATGATTTTAGTTTAAAATAAATGAATGGAGGTAAAAATATGATAATAAGATGTTGTGATAGAAAATAGGTTTTAGATTCAAGAAGGAAAACTTATGTATGGAGGATTTGTTTTAAGATTTTAATTATTTTATATTTTAGTTATTTTATTATGAATTATATTAATGCAAGTTATAGTCTCTTGAGTTAAATTGTAATACACTAAAATATCTTAATATTTTTTTATTTGAGCTAATATTTTATTTTTATGTGGAATATTAGTTTCATTTAGATGTTTTTAATCTTTATGTTAGGAAGAATAAAATAAATCAGAAAAATAATGTCTTAATTATTTTATATTTTATTTATTTTTTTATGAAGTATATTAATGCAAGTTATAGTCTCTTGAGTTAAATTTTATTATACTAAAATATATTAATATTTTTTATTTGAGCTAATATTTTATTATGTGAAATATTAGTGTCATTTAAATGTTTTTAATATTTACGTTAGGAAAAATAAAATAAATTAGAAAAATAGTGTCTTTATTGCTAAAATATATTATTAAAAAAATTAACATGCTTATAAAAATACAATCATGGGTTACAACAATACAAAGATTAATTTTTACGGTAGAGTTTGAAAATAAATAAATATTTTTTTAAAAAAACTCATATAATATATTTTTATGGTCATTAAAAGTAGTTGAGAGAAATGGAACAAAATAGAGAAAATGAAATAAAAAAGTGAAAAGGGACAATTTTGTTATTTTTATATATTTTAGGGATTATTTTTGGAATTTGTACAAACTACTGGGGTATTTTTGTAATTAAATTTATTATTTTATTAAAAAACTAACGGAGATCCGTTAATTTGGATGGAAAATGGGCCGATTGGACGAAATTGGCGAAAATTTCAAACATTAGGGTAAAGTTGACTAACCGAAAATCTATTGAGTATGATTGACGACGAGGGCAAAGCTTTAGGTAGGAACGACATTTTTTCCGCTATGATTCCTTTCGAGTAGACAGCAAATTTGTCTCTTCATTTGTGCTTGAATCCATAACAGAGGTAACCAAATTCTGAAGATTCCAAGGACAGAGATAAACCTCGATTCCAGAACCCTTAAACTCTCTCTTCCCTCCACAAAGAGACCCAGTATTAGCTTTCGGGTTAATTTTTCGGTCGTTGGGCTAGAATTTTGTTTTATATGCCATGAGGAGGACCGGATCGGGTATAACCCATTTACAATAATCATCAAATAAATCCTTTCCTTTTTCTAGTTATCTTGCATGATTTTAATTTTCTGTTTATATCTGAACTTTTCTTAAAAATAAAAAAAAAATGTATAAGATTTAATGGCAACGAATATCTTCGTTTGTGTTATTTAAAAAATTATCACATGTATAAGTTACAAGAACAAACCAATGGCCTGTGGCAATAAAACGTCAAGAGGATAAAGTGAAAGATTCGTTAATCAAGTTAGAATTCTCGATTTCTCAAAAGTAACATTTTATTTATGTCTCCAAATATAATATTTGAATGATTGGTTTTTGATTGTCCAATACTCTCTCAAAAAGTTGGACTGTAACATAGAGGAAGAAGTAGAGGAAGAAACTTGGGGTGGTTCTTATTATTGTGCAGCTACATGATCAAGGGGGTTTTCATACTTTGCCCCTTTGTCTCCTTTGTTAGTGTTGTATGTTAATTGTAATAGTGTTTCTCACTTTTTAGTGGTGCCTAAACTTGCTTACCATTTGTAACCAATAGAGGGAGAAGAAATAAAATGCCTATAAGTGCATTAGTATCATGTTTTTGGTTTGAGTTTTATGTTTAACATATGATCTAAAGTGAGAAAGGGGAAAGAAAAAGGCCAACAATACAAGAGCTCAACCTTTATTAACGCATAGATTTACAACCATGTTCTCTTTTACATTGGAGTTTACAGTCAGGGGTTTGAGCTCTATGGTCGTTTTACATGACTAATCTAGAGTTGGATTTGGGTGGCCGATCACAATTTGCAGCGGTCCAACCTATTGCTTTCTTTTCATTGTCATAAATCACCATTGAGTCCTGCATTGATATATCTACACAGCAGAGGAGAAAAGAAACCAGAATCAGTTCTCCACTTTCACATGCAATACCTGTACCCCCGACTTTTGTAAGAAATACTATCATTCCCAAGATTTAGCGAGTCAAACAACATTCAACCTCCTAAACACTAGAATTCTGATAGAAAATGATCAGCAAGCCATTTTTTTCTTTTTTATTTTTGGATCGAATGCGGCGTTACCTCCAATAACGTTGAAGTTCTGCAGTCCAATCTCGGTGCCATTCAGTATCCCTAAGCAAGCATTGCCTCTTTTCTGCGAAGTAAGTCACACATTAGCAAGAATATGTTAAATGAGGGAAAGATACAAACAAGCGGGAGGTACACTACTACTACTACTACTGTTATATGAAGCACTCACTGAAATAATAAGATACCCTTCAGGGGGTATTTCGAATTGAGGTTTCGATCTCCAACCATTGTTGAACTTCAATGCTAGGGGCTTGAAAAATTTTGCCACTTCATTTATGCTTCTAAATGGATTCCTCCCTTTCCAGCAGTGAGGAAGAGTATCATCATCTGTGGCTTCTCTCAAGGGCTTTCCATTCAACTCTTTCGTCAACTGTAAAAAGATAATGAATAAATTGAGCGCTAGTTGCTTGTAACTTTTGGTGGATAAGCTGCCTTATTTGGATATGAAACAGAAGAAAGCAATGGAAAGTCTTCTTTTTTCTCAACTGTTAATCTACGTTTCTCTTAGAGCAAAAGGAAAAAGAACAGTTGCAGTATGTGTTTCTTTAGTTTGGTTAAAAGAAAAACAAAAGCAGAAGATGATAGTCTCATACCCAATAGAGCAAAGAGCGATATGGCTGAGAACCCAAGTAAGTGTAAGAACTCCCACTGTCAAAAACAAAAGCGAGATTCTTGTTTCCTGAACTTCTTCCTCCAAGAATAAGTTCGGCTGAACCAGCTGAGTAATGTTTGCTGTCACTAAGCAAAAGCCAAAATAAATCAGTAAAGAAATAAAGGAAAAACCAGACAATCACAAAATCAACGTAGCTGGATAAGAAGTAGGTGGTACATTGAATCTCGTAACATTGGGGTCCAAAGCACTCGTGAACTATCATAAATTCCATCCCCCAAGAAAAGAAATCCTCCTCCTCTCCCACTCAAGCAGTGACCAAGAACATTTCGGACAACACCCTGATTCTTAAGCTGCGAAACAATGCCAGATTTTCCTTTTCCAAGACCAAGTATTCCATCCAATGGATGAGAAGAAGCACCAGGTACCTGATCATAACCACACCTACTCAAACAAAATGCCAAAGATAACCTCCACATTAGTTACATAACTTTTGGAATTTACTAATAGTCCAAGTTGAATTCATATGATACATCAACAGTTGAAAAGCTACATAAACTTCAAAACAAGAGTTTATGAAAAGGAAATAAAAAATAAAAAAATTGAAAGATGTTATCATCTAGAATTCCAGGCTAGGACTTAGGCTCAGAATGTATCACAGAACATCAAACAACTCAATAACAGACAAAGTCAAAGTCAAGCTTGAATCCCAGCATCATAAATAAAATTGACATTCTACCGCTGGATAGACTACAAAAAGCAGCTCATGATAACAAAAAGGATCGCAATAATCCAAAATTCAAGCAAGGGCTTAGTAAAAGCATCAAATTGTCCACAGCATATCAAAGACTTAAGGAATAGGCCAAATCAAAGATCAACAGCTTAAAGAATGCAAGAGAGAGCTAAACGAAGAAGCTGCTGACGAAAAGTGAAACATTATTTACCCAAAAGCCAGGCGAGGTCTAAGTCGAACTCCATTGGTAAGATTAAGGGAAAACATATCCTTGACCAACACACCAAGGGATGAACCTCCATCAGCATACTCCACTTCATAATCACATTGTTCTGGGCTGTCGCAATTGTAGTCACCTGAATGCAATGAGGCGCAAAGGGGGTCCTTACAAACAACCAGATCATTTGTGGGACGATATGGAGGGTGGGGCGCCTACAAGATCAGCAGCAATTTAAACAGCCTAAAATGAATTCGAGTTTCATTCTGGAATTAAGTGAACTGAAAACCTTCGGTAAATGCAGTTAGATTTACATGAAAAATGTATGTTTGATGCCAGTAATCTCGCAGCAAATTGACTAATTGATGCAGAAACAAAAATGATAATGGAAGCATTTTTAAAACACACCAAACATCTTGTAGTAGTGGTACATGGATTTTAGCAACCGAACATACCTTTGTGCAATGCACACAGGGAGCATCACATTGAAGCCATGTGAGATCACTTCCGGTATCAGGATCAAGAAAGTATGGCTGAGGCGGCTGACCTAAGTTTACTTGAACAAAGTAATACCTGTTCAGTGACACGAGCTCATGAGATATTTAAATTGCAGAAAGAAAAACAAAGATGCGCGTTCAAAGAGAGTTTCAGATTAGGTATTTGATTGAAGAACTCCAATCAAATTCTTCCTCTTCTAATTAAAATGGAAATTCTAAATCCACGTGTTTTTTATCATGTATGTATGAATTAAATTTGAGCATGGAACCTCTTGAAAAAATCATTCCGGAAGATTTGAAAGACCTATAACTGACATACTTGAAGAAAATTACCCAAAATTGACATCAGATCATACTTGGTGAAAATTAGCCAAAATTGTCAGCAGATCAATAAAGACATACCCTTCAGGGTAAACGTTGCCGTATAAGGGGAAAACAACTGAGGAGGCGGCTCGATTGATCTCTGATGAAGTAGTCCCTGAGGTGGATTCGGAATGCCACCACTTCTGCTGCCTATCACCAGCAGCTCCAACTGATAAAGCAATTCTGAACAAAATTATCATCATCATGAAAGCCTTTCCTTCTCTCATTTCTCTACTTAGAAATCGCTGAACCCGTTCTGTCATTGTAAGCACCACGAAGACCTTGAATAGATTAGATATCGCGGTGTTCCTAGAGCTTCTTTTCCAGCCAGAAAAGGGCCGTGTATTTTTATCCACCGCAGTTGTCCCTTTATGACCTACAAATTGTTTACTAAATACTTCTTAGTCTTGGTCTATTTCAATATTTATGACATGGAGCAATTCCATCTATCAGCATGCAAATAAATCTGAGTCCTTCCCATTTATTGGCCATATAATATATTAGATTCTCTAAAGGGCCTTTGCTTAGAAATAAAGCATTAAAATAAGTATTTCTTCCATCAAATGTACCTTGATGCTTTAACCTTCCTTCTCATTTTGGTTCTTCATTTCTCACTTTTTTTCCTTCTGGAATACTGCGAATTAAGTGATTCCTTGTTAACCCTGCTATGTCTTGGAAAATTCCTTGCCATCCTGACCGAGGAATTATTGTACTTTACCAACTACAGCAACTATCTATCAGAATGAGAGAATGGTAGAGTAAAAGAACCACAGAGGAATATATGAGAACCAAAAAGATGGAAAACCACAGAACCTTAGTCGAGTCACTTATTCAACCCACCCACACACAGGAACATATGAGAACCAAAAGGACGGAAACCACAGAACAGAAGTAAATTTTCAATCCATGTCAATAAGGGGGAAAGAAAACAAAATCCACACATGAAAAATACAACACCAAAGGCATTGGCACTGTGTTTGCAGAAAATTACTCTAATCATTCAGAATATCAGAGCACCATCAAACGCAATGCTAATTAAGGGCCGGCAATGAGGTCAAGTTCAGTTCCAAATTTCATAACACAATCATGCATAAGAAAAGGGTTCTAAGAACGATTGCCTTTCTTGATATACCAAATTCAAAAACTCTACCCACACTCGATACTTCAAAGGGAAGACGAAAAAGAACACATACAGAGTTTTTACCTCAGCGTGTATAATAATTGCCTCCAAATACAAGAACCTCTCAATCAAGCTTCAATCCAGCTAGATCACCCAGTAACCACTACGGAACCAACCCACTATGAAATTCTTTAAAAAGCTTCGATCTTTTGAGAAATTCCCAGTGAATCACTCACAAAATTTTGAGGAGCAAAATTCCGATCAGTGTCCACAATCTCTTTTGCCGGGAAGGAAGATGAGATTATTAATATGGCAGAGTGAGATGGAGCAACAGAATCCTCCTATTTTATTTATTTATGACTGATTTTTGGGGCTCCAATTTCGCAGGCAGAAAGAATTGCTGTCATGCCCAATTTTGCCTCCAGCCATTTTGTCCTCTTAGGCGAGGGGGCAGCAAAAAGAGATAACTGAAAATCAGATGGCTTATGTATATCCTTTTACAGTTTACACAGAAAACCATGGAAAAGGACAATCTATTTTACAAACTACTAATGATTAATATATTCCCTTATCCTATTTATCCAGTGAAATTCTTCGGCATCTAAAAGATTGCAAGAAACTTTTTGGTCTTCTTCAAAAAAAAAAAAAAAAAACAATAATTTTATCACCAGACAAGTTTCGAGGATGCAAAACAAAATTGCTAATTAACAAAATCCAAGTGGCGTAGATAAAAAACATGTACTTTTTTTTTTTTTACTTCAGTGGCTATAAAAGAAAAATTAGGTCAAGCTAGTACTAATTTCATGTTGGCTTCTTCTGGGGCGTTTTGATCTGGATGTTCTCCATCTTCTTTTGGAGGTATAATAGTAAACCCTTTCAGCATCCGAAGCCTTTTGAGTATTACTGTCCGAAACTGAATTCTCTTGGACTAGGGGAATCTTTTATCTTTGGAGGCTATCATTATCAACTATCAAGGTTGCTTGCTGTAAATTGGTGATGCATGAAATTCCACAGGTCCCATGGTTTGATCCCATCTGTTAATTTTTTAGACCCATTAACTCTGGGTATCAGCTTTTGTAAAACCTTCATTTCTGATGCTTAAGCCTTAATGGTTACATATGGAGCAGCATTATGTCACGGGTCAGTAAAGAAACTACAGAGGAAGCAAAAATCCTGTAAAAATCATTTAAATTGTATGATCAAGAATTATCAAGCATTGAACAAAGAAACTGACCGCCCATACTGCCATGAATTTAGAGCAGTCAAAATGACCTTACTTTAAGATTGTGGACAAGTAAGTAATCCAGGTCGATTTTGAACCAGAAGAGCCCCTTTGATAAATTCCACTCTGTTTTGTTGGATTACAACTTAATTGTGGAAAAAGCAATCTTTTTTAACCATCTGAGTTGCATATATATCAAGCATGCTGGTTTACGGGTTCTACTCTAGCAAATACGTACCGATAAAATGAAAAATTAGCAGCCAAAAGTGTTAATGAGGAACAAAATTTAACGTACTTTTGTGGTGAAGAACAAAACGTATATAAGCAACATCTCTGTTGTGTGCTGAGAAGAACCAACATTTTTTTGTTCATGATTCTGGCCTTGAGTGTCTGATCAAAGAAACAGCTTTGCATTGAAAAGAATCATATTATAACAGGGCTGCAAAAACATTGGGAAAAAAAAAAAAACAGAGGTAAAACAGGGCTGCAAAGGAGTATTTGCTATTTCTCCATCATTTTTGTTGTTCAGGAGTTACCCTGATGGAATCTTTTCCTGTTTTAGATGCATAAAGCTGGGTTACTCACTGTATGAGAAAAAGGAAGAATTTTTAGGATGTCAACAAATTACATAGAATTATTAAGAAATAGTACAATGCATCACAAAGAAAACTTGGATGGGAAATTGAGCTTTGGTTTATGAGTTAGTTTTCTTTGGTAGTATATTGATTCTAATATGAAGTAATAATGCCGTTGCTAACTCCTGCATTCATTTATTGGAATTAGGGCCAGAGTCGAGGAGGATGACCTCGAGGAATGCAAATCGTTGCTCAAAGATTTGCAAACCCAGTGCCGCGATCATGAACGTCAGAGGGAGGGGAGAAGAAGTGTGTGTGTGTGTGTGTAACTTCTCTTTCATTGCATATGGAATTATTCGAGCTCTCTAGTTATTAATCGCGTGAATCTGTGGTCTGGCGGCTTTTGTTTCTTCGTGTAGGGAGCCGGTGAAGTGTATCAAGTGGATAGTGAGAAGGTACGGCAGGCGGGCGGTTCTTTTAAATTGTGTGTCACAGGATATGCTGCTCCAGCCGCAGAATGTATAGTGATGACTACAAAGGGTCAAAACAAGTACTCCCTCCGTCTCATAATTATTGTCTAATTTTATTAAAATGAAAGATTTTCCTTTTGATCAAATTTAATTATATTTTACCTTAAACAACCGGATATACCCCTACATAATTAATTGTTTAACCACTAAGATTTTATGGATAATGTTTTTTTACTAAGGACAAATGTGTAACTTAATCCATAAAAAGTAAAATTGGACAATAATTTTGAGACAAAATTTTTTGGTCAAAGTGGACAATAATTATGGGACGGAGGAAGTCCTACTCTTTTTACTTGTCCTTGTTCAGTATGTTATGTGGTAAATAATAAGTAATATGGTTGTCACTTTTTGGGTCATATTGAATTCTATTTTATTCTTCTCTGTAGATATAGTTACGATATGTCTTTGGAGGAAGCTGCATACGAAGCCAAAAGAGCAATATGCAACGGGTTAGTCCATGTTGATGAGAGAGAGGATTATGCCAGTGGTATGTTTGTGTTGTTTGCTTGTTTGTTCTTCCTTTTCAATCAGTCACCAAAATGCTCTTTTTTTTCTTTTTTCTTTTTTTATTTTTTGGGGAGTTCCCGTCTCCTGAAGGACATGATGATGATCTGTGTATTTATTTGCTTTCATAAATCTGAGCGCAGTTTGTAATGTGGTCATGGATATACAGTTTGTCGTAACACACGATTCCTTCTTATGATCACTTCAGATTTGTTTTGGATCTACAGTAGGTAAGTAATGTTTATATGATTTTCTATAAAAGTTTTTATGTTTTGAAGTATGTTTTTTTCCATCGCAAGTCACAGCATAATTATGGCGAACAGTGATTATATGTTTTTTCCATGCGTTTGTTTTATAGGTGAGTATTTTTGTATGAGTTTTTTTTTTTTTTTTTTTGTAACAAAAGGGACTTATTTTATCCATTGCAAATGGAGTTGTAAGAGTTATTATTGAAAATTCTTTCAGCTTTGTGCTAATAATGGATTAGATCAAAATGGTTCTCTTAAATTCCGACGCTTTTTAATTTGGTGAAGTTACCGGAAATCAATATATCAATGCACCAATGCATTTTGGGTCGTACTGCTTAAACAGTCTCTCTGTACCGAAATACAGAGGTAAGGCTGCGTACATCTTGACCCCCCAGACCCCAACCGAGTTAAGAATATACTGGGTATGTTGTTGTTGTTGTAACAAAAGGGACTTATGTTCATCAAATAAAAAATAGTTTTTCATACAATAGGTAAGTAATGTTCATATGATTTTCAATAATAATTTTATTTTTAAGAAGTGAGTTTTTTCCACAATATTTGACGTGTTGGTGTAATTTCTTTAGAATTATTTGGTCAAATTTTAAATCATGAAGATTTCAGAGAAAATATTCATACATTGGTATGATGAAGTCCATGATAGTTGTTCATTATTTTCATACAGCATGATATATTACTTAAAGTACTCCATCGTTCCAAAATAAGTGTCATTCTAGAGTTTGTACATAGTTTAAGAAAATATTGAACAGGGTAATTAAATTACTAGAATATCCTCAACTAACCCTATTAAAAAAAATGATACCAATAATATTATTTCTTTTGAGGGTATGTTTGGAAAATTTTGACAAGAAATGCATTGGAATCCGAAAACGACACTTATTTTGGAATTTTGCCAAAACGACACTTATTTTGGAATAGAATGATTAATATGTTTTTTTGAAAACCCAGGAAACTCTGTTTGATAACCCTGCAACAAAAAAAAGCAAAAAACTAACACTGGAGAAAAACTTGCAAGTAGATTATCACCATGTGGGCTTTTCAATTTAGTTGATAAGTTGTCCCAATTCAAAAGAAAGCTATTGAAGAAATTGGATTCGGATTTTTACTAAAGATAGAGATACATGAATTGCATGGAGATCTTTGCAAGTATTTAGTTCTCAATTTCGATAGCAATAGCAGAACGCTAAAGTTACATCGTGGTAAAGAGATGATGATTGGTGAAGATGATGTTGAAAATGTTTTACATATTTCAAGAGGGAAAAAAAAAAGTGAATGAGTTTACTGGTGTAGTTAGAGATTCAGCTGAATATAAAGATTTCTTGAAAAATTAGAAAATGAGATATAAGCTGACAACTGGAGGGCCGAAAAGCACTGAGATTACTGGTTTTTTGTTAGAATTTGAATAAGTAAACGAAAGAAAAGATGAACTTCGGTGATGATTTTAAAAGAGACTTTGTTGTATACGTTGTTTCATCATTCTTGTGTGGAAGCCAAAACTCTCAATGTAGATTCAACGTTCTAAAATCTCTTATGGAAGTTGATGAAATCAAAGAGTACAACTGGTGTGAGTATGCTATGATGCCAACAACACCAGAAGGGCATCATAGCATACTCACACCAGTTGTACTCTTTGATTTCATCAACTTTCATCAGAGATTTTAGAACCTTGAATCTTCATTGAGAGTTTTGGATGTCACGCAAGATGGTGAAACAACGTATACAACAAAGTCTCTTTTCAAATCATCACCGAAGTTTATTTTTTCTTTCGTTTCCTTATCACATTCTAACAAAAAAATCAGCAATTTTAGTGCTTTTCGGCCCTCCAGTTGTCAGCTTATATCTCATTCTCCAATTTTTTAAGAAATCTTTATATTCAGTTGAATCTCCAACAACACCAGAAGACTCACCCACTTTTTTTGTTTCCTCTTGGAATACCTAAAACATTTTCAACATCATCTTCACCAATTATCATCTCTTTACCACATTGTAACTTTAGCGTCCTGCCATTGCTATCAAAATTGATAACTAAATACTTGTAAAGATCTCCGTACAATTCATGTATCTTTATCTTTAATAAAGATCCGAATCCAATTTCTTCAATGGCTTTCTTTTGAAATGGAGACAACTTATCAATTAAATTGAAAATCCCACATGGTCATAATCTACTCGCAATTTTTTCTGCGGTGTTAGCTTTTTGCTTCTTCGTTGGAGGTTTATCACTAGTTGAGGCACTCTTATTTTTCAAACAGAGTTTCTTGGGCTTTCAAAAAAACATTTACTTTTAAATAATATATCATGTTGTATGAAAATAATGAACAACTATCATGAATTTCATCATACTAATGTATGAACATTTTCTCTGAAATCTTCATGATTTAAAAATTTGACCAAATAATTCTGTAGAAACTACACCAACACATCAAATATTGTGGAAAAAACTCACTTCTAAAAAATTAAATTATTATTGAAAATCATATGAACATTACTTACTCACTGTATGAAAAATTATTTTTTATTTGATGAACATAAACCCCTTTTGTTACAAAAAAAAAAAAAAAAAACTCATACAAAATACTCACCTATTATACAAATGCGTGGAAAAACGTATAATCACGGTTAACCATAATTATGTGTTGTGACTTGCGATGGAAAAAAACACATTTCAAAACATAAAAATTTTTATTGAAAATCATATGAACATAACTTACCTACTGTATGAAAAACTAATATTAATTTGATGAACATAAGTCCCTTTATAAATATTATACAACTAATAACGTTTCTTTACCGAAGAAAAACAAACACTTAAAAAATCAAAAAAAAAAATCTATATATTCATATGAATTTCATATAATATTTCATTTGGATGAAAATGATGGACACCTAACATGAAATTCAACTTACTAATTTATGAACATTAGCTCTGAAATTTTTAATACTGAAACTTAACTTTGACATAATAAATCTAAAACTACGTTGAAAATCTACTGAGGTGCCTAATGAAAATTCAGTAATTTAATATGAACATTATACAATATTTGTATGATAAATAACACCAAGCTACTATGAACATCTATTACTTTCATGACCAAACACATTACGTATATGCAAACTACTATGATCATTCCTTATACAAACATTCCCATACATGAATATATGAACTTCACATTAAAATAACCAAAAAAAAAAAACATAAATTTAACCGCTTATATAATTTTAAAAGGTTGGGTAATTACCCTTTCCCAGCATCTTTTTTCCCATGTAATTTTTCTTCTTTAGCCAACTTTCCTCCATTGAAGTCATCTGTTCCACCCCTTTTTCTCCATCTACATCAATCGATCCGACCATATTTTAATGTAGTCGCTGAATTTAGAAAATCCTTTTACCAAACAAAACAAACATATTAATTGCAAACCACTACTTCATGTGTGTGGATTGCACACAGTAATGATGTAGTTTTTTTCATTAAGGATTATTACCTTTATCTCCACGGGTTCAAAGTAGAAGAACAAATTCCACGCACCAAATTCAGCACAGTAAACAACTACTGCTGATCACACCAATTAGACATGTTCGAGAAAATTCAGAACAAAAACTTCAAATTGAACATAGTAACATCACAACACACCGAAAGAAAGAACAAATTTTACCGACGACTTCCTTGACAAACGTTGCGGCGAGATTAAGAAAATTGATAAAATAGTACGGCAGCTAGAGTTCTTAAGAAATTTGATAAGAGGGATATATAATTTTATTTTAATTAGGAAACAATTGAGGAGATGAGATTTTATTATGAATCCCAGTCATACTATAATTTGAACAAACAATTGTTTTATATTAAATTTTGAAAACAAAGATTATGTCCGTAAAATATGTTGGTAGTATTATTTACACAAATAACAAATTGAATATTTAATTATATGAACACGTATTCACACAAACGCTTGCACCAAATATGGTGAACTGTGTTCACCATATAGTAACGGTCGGGTCGTCTCTACTTCCACTTTAAAACTTGCAAAAGCGGGTGGGGGAAGCAAAAAAAAAAAAAACCCTCAGAAAAATTGCACTGATACGTACCACCCAGCCATGTTCCCCCTTATAATTTAACTTTGATTGGCAGAAATTTTGAATCCTAAAGTTAAAGTTAGTGTGTGGGGAGCAGTGCTTTGTTGTTGTTGTTTCTTTGCCTTTTTGGAAGTTGAATTTCTTTCTTTATTTCCCTCTTTTTTCTTCTTCTCATTATTATTATTATTTTTTCTTCAGAATCTCTTTTCACACAAGAAAAGCATCGATCCAACTTCAAATAATTGAAAACTACGTAGGAGATACGACCATGCATGATGCACCCAAAGCATGCATTTATATGTTTTTACTACTTCTCTCTTGAATCTATTTGTACACTACAAATAGAATAATAATTTTGGGACGCAAAGAATATATACATTTCCGCGGAGCCAAGGTGTGCAAATTGCACGGGAGAGAAAGTGGGAGCTTTTCCCTTTTCGTTTTGGGGTATCTCGATCGTCCTGCATTTTCTTTTAGTAAAGTCCGTGTCTTCTGTCTTCTAACCATCTCCACCTGAGAAAGCCACCAAAACCAATCCCATTCATTCATCAATTTCTTGCTGCCAAAATGCTATTGAGTAAGTTTGCACAAAAGGTCACTTAATTAAAGATATATCAAATCCAATTTCATTCATAATATCTTCAAATTAATAACATGCAAAGCACGTACGTAATTCTTTAGACTCAAAAATTAATTTTGATGGAATGACTCGTTTCCTGGAGTGATTGAAGATACACATTAATCGAATTTAGCCATAAAAATTAAGTACCATTAATTTTTAGACTACCTTTGAGTTACTCTATAGATGTACCTTAAATCCCATTGAGTTAGATGGATTTGAGTAACACAACAGGAGCAGAAACAAATTACCAATAGAAATCCCATCTGGGTCGGATCTTGGACATCCGGTTACGGCCATAAGGGTAATCGGATTCGGCGCGCTTGGTGTTCTGGAAAGCGCAGCAGCCAATGGAGTAGATGCCAATGAGAATGACAAGCATGACGATGTTAAGAACCGAGAGCTTGTGCCAATCCCGTCGGACATCTTCAAGGACGCCCGCCTTGCACGAATCACATTCGTAGCAAAGCAGGCTCGGGGCATTGTTCCACAGGCTGCAATCCGGGTCCTGGTTCATCACCACTGCTCCGTACGTGCATGATGTTGGTGGCTTGCAACAACCCGACTGCACCACAATAAAATTCCCCATTAAATTTAGTTATACTATACGTACGAACTAATTTATTATACTTTTATCGTTCTTGATGCATAAAATCAACAACTTACAGTTTATAGGGGAGAATTCAGATGATCATTCCATAATTAAGTAATGATCGATATAGCACATAGTAAAGGCGCGCCTAGATTCTTTATGATATACTTTAGTGTGTTTTTGAGAAATTTGTAACTTTATCTTTATGCATCCATCCATTCATATAACGTTTTTATTTATTTCATTTCCTGTTAGTGATTAAGCAACAAATTAAAGGAAAAAGTTCAACCCAAATTGGTTTGCTCACTTGTGTGAGTGTGTAATTTACAAAATATTCTTTGGTTTCTTCTCTTTTTATTTTATTAATATTTTTTTCAGTTAGAGGTGAAGGATATGACTAATAGTATTTCAGGAATACTTATCAACAAAGCAAAAAAATTCCCTCTCATTTCAAAGAATATTGAATATATTCTCTTTTTTTTTCCAAATTGTAGAGAACCAAAGAATTTTCTAGTATTCCCAAATCAACATCAACAATATGAACATTCCTTTATTTATATTCATCACATATATATAAATACACACACACACACACACACTCCACAGCCACATATAGACACCAAAATAAATAAATAAATAAAGCAAGTAATAATTATATATGACTTTAGAATTAACCAAAATATATATTTTGTAGCTATTGAATAGTGTTGTTACTATGAGATTGACGTTTAGAATGATGTTGAGATAATTCGATTTTGAAAAATAATAAAATAATAATAATAATAATAATAATAATAATACTAATACTCCCAAGCTAGGTAGTTTTATACTTATTTCTGGAATTAGGGAAAGTATGTTAAAATTTTAGAAATATGAGTGTCAACCAAAAATTAAGATTGAAGAACTGATGAATGAAGCTAAAAATTATTGAGTACCTGAATAGGAGTCAAATCCCTGGTAAGATAATCAACAGGAGTCCACATGGAAATAGAGTCACAAGTCTTGGAATTCAGAATACAAGTCCGAATAGCCATCCAATAATGAGGATCCTTAATCCGCTTCCTCAACCACGGCGAGTAATCACTGAGGTGATACTCCCGGTAAGCCCGTCCGGCCACCAGCTGGCCGCCGCCCTGGCTGGTGACCACGAACCCGAAGATGGTGATCCCCATGAGCGCGCCGATGAGGAACAGCATGACCAGCAGGTAGAGCCACAGCGCCCATGCGACGTTGAAACACGCGCCGATGAACCCGGCTAGGGATACGATCAGGATCACGAACCCGATCACCAGGAGCGGGGTCTGGAGGAAACTCTCGCACGTGGCGTTGCTACGGGCCATCCAGAGCCCCGCTCCCATGATCGGGATGGAGGCTAAAAGAGTGAAGAGGTTCAAGAATCCTATCACGGTGTTACTAAATCTGTACATATCTAGTTTTGTTCAAAAAATGACTTCTACTTCTTCCTGCTTATCTTTGTTTCTAACCTAAGCTAAGCTCAGAGAGGAAAGTAAGAGTGTGTGACTGTGTGTGTGTGTGTGTGTTTTTGTGTTGTGCAGCTTTTGCTTTTTGAAAGTGAGTGAGAGACAATGGTTTGTGAACTTAAAAGAAATGAAATGTGGTTTTGCCTTTGGTTTGGTTTTTTTTTTTAAGTGTGCTTTTGTTTGGCTGCAGAAAGAATAAGTAAGTTATATATATTCTCCAAAAACAAAAGCTTTACGATATTTGACTACATTGAACTTAGCAATTAAGGAACTCTCAGCCTTAAAGTTTGTAACTCTTTGTTCAAAATGACGAAAATATCCTATGCGATCCAACTTGTTATCAAGATTAGATTTTTTATGTTTTTTTTTTTTTTGCAATCCAAACTTGAGATATTATGTAGGTTTAAATTGGGTCTCCTAGAATAGGTTTAGAACAAATAACAAATTTTGTCTTTCAAATTTCAGAGGGCACTTTTAGTCTCAAATTACTGCTTTATATAAAGGACCCAAGTGAATGGGGTATTATTCTCTTTTCATTCTATTTCACTAGTTCATTTCGTTAATCTGACATTAATTACATAAATTATCAAAATGGACAAAGAAAGCATTACAAGCACTATATATACTTAACCTTAAACACCTATAAATTTTCATGAACTCATCACAAAAGTTGAGTATCTCAAATTAATCTTAGTATTTCTCTAACTTTAAGGATGGACTTAATTTGTCCATGCAATTAAGTCACCATATATACCAAAGGAACCCACTCAGACTCAGCAAACAACGTGAGGTTTTCGAGTGGTTGAATACGTTCTTTATTTCTGATATTTAAAAATTCGGAAGCAGCAATCCCAAGGGAGAAAAAAGAAAAGGGCAATCGGCAATGGTCGCACACTTTAACACTTTACAATACCATGAAGCGATTATATATAGTTGCTTGCTTAGTTGTGATGTTTTCTCACTCACAAAATTATCTTCTCCACTTAGTTCTTTTTTTTAGTTGTCTGCCACGGTTTCTAGAACTTTGTCCCGACTAATTCGTTGGTCAACCCGGGTCATACACTTGACTGTGATGAGTAAATCTCCCAACAAGAGTTTTTTGCATGCACAAAGTTTCGAACCCCAGATCTTACTTAAGCGGCAATAAGCTGCTTATCACTTGTACCAACCCCAGTTGGTACTTAGTTCTTACTTTTACTATTACTAATACGTCTCAGAAATAAAATTTTGATTTATTGAAATTGAACAACACATTTCTTTTGGTGAATCACAGTAGGAGTATATGATATCGGTACTAAACTTTCCAACAGAACCACTAACCTATCAACTTTCTTCCTATCTCTTTTTTTTTTTTTTCCATTCTCTTTTCAGCATAATATTAAATTTGGACGGAGTTAACTCAGAATTTTATTTTATTTTTTTATTATTTCAATTCATGCTGCAATGCTATCCATTATTACTGTGTATTATTATAGGTTGAAGGCAAGCAAAGGATAATGGGTGATTTTGTCATTATATATCCAAAGTGACTTTACATCTTTCTCAGGCAAATGGATCAACTTTGTGCTTATTATTTAAGCGTGATGATCTGAATTGCAGAATATTTTGATTGTTTCTTTCTTATCTTCTTCTGATGTTAGGCTTCTTTGTCTGTTTGATTCTAGGCTTGATTCCCGACTTTAAGATTCCATTAAAGTACAATCATCGCTAAAAAAAAGTCCTGATAACATTCTCTTTTTACTTGTTAAAACAAGCTTCTTCCACCATTTTGAGGTTTAGAAAACTTCTTTCCCGAACAACAATCAGCTGCCGTGGAGAACAAACGAATTTTCTAGAAAAAAGGAAAATGCCGCAAGCTCACTAGGGTTATCAAAAGTTCGTTTTTCTAATCCCAAGATTTTCATCCCTACTAATTGGCCATATTACAAACACAACTCAATCCATTTCTTTCTAAACTCCCTAATAATAATAACATTAATAATTTCTCTTGAGGCCTCTTAATCTCATTCTGCGAAGGGAGGCGGGGATTTGTTACCTATACAAACTGAAAGCTTAAAAATGCTTAGCTCGCCAATCAACCTTCAAATCATCATCACTGTCATCATTACCTGAAGACGACTCACTTGCAGACTCCTTAACTGAGACTTGCTGGCCTTCACCCTTGGTGGCAGTCCTAGCAGCCTTCTGTTCTATTCTCTTCTTCTTCAATAACTCCAATCTCTCCTTACGAGTCCTGAAAGGAAATAAGTCACAGACACAAACGCCAGCAACAGTTTAAACCAAACATAAGCACACATCTTTATAAGAATTTAATTTCCACAAGATAGAAGATCAAAAGAGAGCAAAACCCGCCACAACACTAGCATACTACAGAAAAGAGAAGCCCAAACAATTGTCACTTCAAATGCTCTAACTTGTTATAGTTGAAAGAACTTTACCTTTGCTCCACCAACTCGGCCTCTTCTATCTCTTCAGCTGCATCAACCTGTACAGATAAAAGGAAAAGATAAGATCCTGGCTGGGGTGCGAACCAGAATCACCAAGTAACTCGTCCTTATAAAATTGAACCGAAAACTAGATTACCTCTTCTTCTTCCAAACGGTTGTCAACTTCTTGCAAGTCTTCCTGAATCAACTTTTCAAATTCCTTGTACTCGTCTCTGCGAGAAAATACCAAGTTACTACCGTGTGCATAGATTCAATTGACCAGCATAAGCATTGGAGAGTTCAATTAAGACCAAGCACGTTTTTTGCATAATAGGCTTCAGATTTCCACAAACCAACTCAAAAACAAACAGGAGAGTAAGTATGAATCTTGTGACTCTGACATATACTTTTCAATTAAATCGAAAATATATCACTCAAGTCTCCAATTGGAGACCAAGATAGGACACTGAGTAGGATTCTCGGGATTGGAATTGCAGCATATTCAAATTTATACAAAAACATATTCTTAAGATCCAATTAGAAGACAATGCTCCAATTAGGATGTTCACTTCATGGCACCACATGACATCGCCAATAAGGTCTAGCTGAATAAAGAACTAACTCGCCATTTCACCAATTAGATTAATCTACCAACAGCACCATGCTAAACTCAAACATCAGCAATAAATATTGCAACAACAGTGTTTGGGGGCAGCACGTGTAAATGTATCAAGAAGAAACTTTCAGTTAACTTAAATAAACGTTCAGAGAGGATATTTTATAAAGAAAAAGATCACCCACCACAAAGTTATAAACGTTTCAGGATTGACACTACACAGAATTCCTAATTTCTTACAGGCCAGACACTCAACTACACCTAAATGCAATAGCAAGTCAATGACACGAGTTACAGGAGTTTGTGGCACCTGGTTGCACAAAAAAGGAACATGACACCAGAACCAAATAAAATAAATTGAAACACAATAGGATCCCCAAGTTTCGAGGGGAGGCGTGAAGCTGGGTTAACAGCTCAGGAGAAGAGCAACAGATTCACCATATCAGCAAGTACATGAAGCTCTGGTATTTTGTAACTCAGAAGGACATACTTTACAGAAGAAAACCAAACACCAAAGGAGACAAACTACGATCAAGAACTAAGCCATACAAAGAGATAATAATGCTTACTTGACATCTGGTTTAACGGGTGTGATGCCACGTGCAAGCATGTCTGCATCTTTGTCATCAAAAAACCCTTCAGGAAGAGCCCCTTTGCTTCGCATAGTTTCAGAAACAGTAGCTGTTTGGGATTTCTGCACTTTCCCGCCAAAAGGTAGATTTTCATTGCTTGGCCCTACTTCATCATTGACAAGTGTCTGTACTTTACTACCTCGTACAACTGGAATGACACCTTGACTCTCTGCAAATACCGCAGCATTCCTGCCCAAGTTAGAATCTTCCTTAGCAGAAACCAATTTCTAGAGTGAAAACTCTGATGATATCATATGCTGAAGGGAAGTAATGCGAGTTTTAATAAAGGAGCTCCACATTCTATGATGCTATAAGGAGAAAATACAAAGTTTTACGAACAAGGTTATACCAGCAAAATGAAATACACTTAGCAAGTCCCATTCAATCTAGTTACAATATATTACGCAAGTGAACTCATATGTTTGCCTTTGGGTCCTATAGTAACAGATGGCTCATAACTAATTTTACAGAAACTATATATATATATATATATATATATATATATATATATATATATCAACAAGATACCAAAACAAATGCAACTGCCATCTGAAAATTGGACTCCACAACAATTCCCTTGAGTTACATCCCATACGGTAATAATTGAGACGTAGTTCTATTAAAGGAAAAAATGAAATAAACATATAAACTAGATTGACCACAAAACAAAATTTTTAAACCAAAATCTCAAATCCTTGTTTGATGCTTCTTACTGACAATTTAAAAAGAGTTCATCAGTTCATACAAAATTTGCACTTAGAATGGAACACGCACAGGCTTGAAAACGCTTTAAATACAAATCCCACATCAAAATCTTACCATTCTTTTGCCTTTTTGTGTCATTCTTGTCAAAAAAATCAGAAGGAAGGCCAGAGGCTGGTCGATTTTTGGGTAATCCATTTGAAATGTCAAGTTTATTGTTAGACAACTCTTGTTCACCTTGAGCTTTAGGCTTAGCAAACTCCTTCACAGGTTCAGGTTTTGCAACATTAGCTGGGGTCACAGCAGCAGCACTAGCCTTGAGATTGTTAATTGCCTACAGAGACGACAAATGCAATAAACGCGAAGCATAATAAATAATGCATCGAAATATACCCATTAAACTTCAGGACATATCATAACAATGACTAAATTGAGGCCTAGATTACTCAGCTTTTGTGTTCCCCTCACATGACCAAAGTGTTGAAATCTTACCTCATGATGCTTCTTGGAAGCTTGATGAGCTGACCATAGAGATTCCGATTTCAAGGCAACATTACACACTTTACAGACCGGTTGATTATGCTCATTGTACCTACAAATTGCAGAGGGGAAAAAAAATGTCATTACATAGTTCAAAGTTGATGACCCATATATGACGCCATCCCATCCCAAATTCTTCATCAATTTTAAACCTAATTGTCTCATCAAAATGTGCTTAAACTACCACATCCACAGGAAAAATTCAGGGGATTAGAAGCATTGCATTTCAAAATTCAAACTGTAAGTTTACCTAAACTGAAATAAAAAATAAAAAAAAAATTGCAAGTCTACTGCTGGAGTTGAAACGCACATATACGGGACTGGATACACGGTATATGGAAAGAAAGCAAACACTAAAACCTACTGGCATGTAGTAACTATTAATTAGGGAGTTGAACATTGAACGGGTTTAAGTGAACCGTTGAACCGGAGGCGTGAAAATATTACCTAACAAGAGGAGAATCAATACGCTTGTCTTGCTTCTTCGCATTCACTTTCGCCCTGAACTTCTTCCTCGCTTCAGCATCCATGAAATCAGTTTCCGAAACGTATAATCAAAACCTAAGAGGCGAAAAAAAATAAAGGAATAAAAGAATCAAACCACAGATAAAATCAATTTAACTAACCAAATTCGTGAATTCAAACAGAGAACCAGTAACCAGTAGATTCCCAAATAAAAGGTGAAAGGAGAACAGTGCTTAAATTACCTTAAAATCGATGAATTTGCAAGCTTCTCGCAACAAATTCTCACGTATCACAATGACTGTGTGTAAAATCTCGGGTTCGATTTTGCCCTAATTTGAATGTGTTTGTTGTGATGGAACAAAATTGAATCCGAAAAACCCCAAAAACTGGTGTAAACTATGATTGTTAGCGAATCAAGAAAGCGAAGAATATAACCTAATCAAACAAACAAAATCGCTGCTCTTCATCCTTATGAAGAAATCGCGCGCGGTAGAGTTGATAAAGCGCTCTTTGTTTACTTATGGGCCTAACAAATCATGCTGAGATTTGGGATATAAAAGGGCCCAAAATTTGTTTGACCCATTACCATTAGTCCACAACAGCCTTTTTTCCTGCCTACTAAGGCTTTCATCTTTTAATTTAAGATAAATAAATGATTAAAGACTTGTAGTACAGTGGATTTTTAAAAAAAATAAATAAATAAAAACTGCATCATATGATAAATCAATTTCAAAATGACATCTTCTTTCGATGTTGTTCAGTAATGAAAAGGTGAGATCACAAATTCTGATGTTATTCAGTAATTAGATATCAAAATCACGAATGTTTTATAGGACAGATGGAGTTATTTCATGAGACAGCAAGTTTAAAAAAAAAAAAGAGTGATCTTTTTCTTTTATAATGTTTCAGACGTAATAATGAATCAGATAAGTTACCTGATCTCATCCCTTTTCTTGATTAATGAATTTTCTTTCTATTGAATGGAACTAAAATTATTTAAATTAAATCATGTTTAATATATTTTTTAAGGCTTTTTCCTGTGGTAGTAAATGTATATAATATATAATATATACTGATTCCATGTTGTTTCCATTTTTTTATCATTTATGCTCCTTTCAGTTGCATGACCCGAGCTGCAATCAATCAAGCATGACATACAAGTACGCGCCCACAAGTCACCATGGCCGGGATTTACAAGACCCACACCATACAAATATATTCCAGCACCGACACATTTTTGTTGTTCATTTCCCTCCGTTCCAAAAATGATAATCAAGTTTTTAGTTCAACAAATTTGACTCTTGTTTTAGAGTAGATGCATATTTCATTAAAATGTCTTTGTCAATCTCGTCTACAGATGAATCTGAACCTCCTTTACTGACTTGAAATCCAAGCAAATCATAGGCCAGAACAAAGTTACATATATGATGAACTAAAGACTGAATCACAGATCACAAAAGTTTTGTCTGCTATAACACTTCTCATATGAATCACATTTGATTATTACATTCCATCCCCCCAAGTATGTATATTTGAGGATGCTGTCTTCAGATGAAATAGAGAGAGTATATATATGTTTCATATATACACTGTGTGGAACTTATATCTGGAAAAAAAAAAACTACTTTTATTTCTACTCTAGCTAGAATAAACAATTTGACCCCGGCAAAAAAAATGAACTTTTGACGTCAATCTGAACTAATAATAACCTACAGCTGAAGAAAGAAGAACACAGATTCTCTCCGGTTCTTTCTCCTGTTCCCAATCATCTATGACCAATGCTTCGACATCAACAAGCTTGTATGTCTCCTGAGTGAACCATTCTAGCCAAGAGGATTCCTCAGGTCGGCATAGGCTTGTCTTCCAAAAATGATCTGAAAAGAATGTAAGCTAGCCGAGGGCGATGAAGTGGCACCTCGTGTCCGGCACCTGCTACTGTCACAAGGGTCAACCCCTTGTATACTTGGCTCCATCCACCAACCTATTTCATAAGAAGAAAAACCCATGTGAAAATCCAGAATCTTTGCCTCAGAGCAATCAAGATATCAGCCACGACTTCTTTAGACTACTGTGACGAACGCATCAGGATGGAAATTTTCTAAACTAAGAACTACTTCTTAAGCAAATTGGTGAATGAATTTTCTTTTACCCGCAACAATTATGTAATCAGTGAATAGGGTCAAGATCATCCAACTACTAACTTTATCTAATTTAAAGTTTTGAACCATGCCTGAGATTCTCATTTGCAGAGAACGTGTCTATTTAAAGCAGGATAGCAATGTATGTTCCATATAACAGCTTAACCAACAGCAAAAATTAGGGCTTAGTTGTTGGCTGAGCCAATTAATTTATGAAACAAGTAATCAGAGGTCTGCATAAGAAAGCTCAATCATCATTTTTTAGGCAGATATCATAAAATAATCACCCAAGCAAACTAAATTTCATTCCTATATCTTACCTTTTTATTGTCATACCACGGGTACCAGTTAGTGAGGGTTGGAAGCTTGAGAGCATCAATTGAATATCGAGTTGCAGTCAAAGGGACGACAGAATCAGTATCCCCGCTGAAGAAAAGATGAACAAAACTTTTAGTCAGTTTTGAAACAAACCATGAATGACTTAACTAGTGAATTTGTTCCACATTAGATGTGGTTGCAGTGACAAGATGCAAAGGAGGAGGCACGGACAGACCTGAATACCCATATTCTTAAACCAGCCTCCATTAGTTCTTTATAAATAGGAAGCATGGATGTAGGAGCATCTGCCCAGTAGTTACCAACAATATCACTGCACAATATCAGTTCTAGTCAATAACGAACAATTGGACTAGAACAGATCAACATGCTCCTAAGAAATAAACCCACCTGCATGTTTTCCATGGGTAAGGGATCCCAGTGATGTTGGCATGCAATGCTTTTTGAACTTCCGGGATATTGAAGTACACTTCAGAATGCCTTTCAGTGCAAGGATCATATGCTCTGGGCATCCATGGCTGAGTTAAGAGTAGATTCAGTTATTAGAAACAAAGAACATTGAAAGTAATGACTAATCTTCGCACTAAAGTTGAAGCAATGTTTGATGTAAAGCTATGATGTAAAAGGGGCACAGAAGAGCAGTTGACACCTCAACTACAAAGTGTCAGAATCAACAGACAGTATGATAGAAACAAAATTAGAGCAGTATGGTAATATGGTCACTAAAACAGCCATTTTATCAACTTTTGATATGCTTTGGCTACTAAGAGGACAATCTGTTTTAACAAAATGCAAGTCCATGCATGGGCCATTTGAGTAACTGAAGGACCAGACTGATAAATATTCAGTTCACTGGGTCTTATACATGGAGCTTTTGCAAAGTGTCATACTGAAAAGACAGCATGCAGCTCTGACCAGTAAGTTCACAACAAAAGCAGAAAATGGAGTGCATCTTGTTTGCGTGCACATTGTTTGCTGCATCAAAAAAAAAAAATCCAAAATTTGCCCACTGACCATAAAATAGGCAATTGCGAGCAGCTCAAATCAATAAGCCATTTCAGGCGACACTAGAAGATAGAGATAGACAGATACAACAGCCAAAATTGATGAGTACTAAAGAGTTTCACTATGTTTACCCTCCAGCAGAAGAAGTGAAAAATTGTCCACAAGTATTAATTCTTGAGTACTGATAGTGAAAGCAAGTTTCTAACAGTTTAACAGAATCATAATCCAAAATCCACAAATCAAAAGGTATTGGGAAATAAGGCCATCTTCCACTCGCTAAAGTAGACTAATAATTGCATATGGAAATTGCAGAAGGGGAAAGAACGATAAGACTTACAAAGTGGCCCCTGAAACGGCGCATCAATGTGGAACTCTCGTTGCAGGGAGGAGTATATATACTATAAGGGTCAATGTTCCCTTGTTCATTTGCAGCTATAGTTAGAGCCTTAACACATTCTGCTGGAGGATGCGTAGAAGACGTCAAATCACAGGCTACACGAAGAAGTTTGTATGTAGAATCTGAAATTAAACCATGAGTCCACCAGTACTCAAATGTGCCAATGTAATCGTGGTAATCATCGGTAACAGCATTTCCCACCTACATGAATAATTTCAGTCATTAGAATCAAAAAGACCGATCAATCATACTGGAAGGGCATGGGTAGGGTTTCAGGAATACCATAAAACCCTTGAAGTTAATAATTGGATTTGCAACTCCTTTGTTCCTTTCATATACAATTTGAGATAGCTGAGGAACATAATGTCCTGGAGACATGGATATACATCCAAGAGAAGGCGGCCTTGGTTAGATTCTAATCACATAGAATGTTTAGAAAAGATATGCTATTCAAAGACCAAATGTCTCAGACCTGCATAACTTTCTCCAACAATGTAAAATTCCCTGTGCTTGTATTGAGGAAACCTTTCAAACCACTCGAGTAGGAAGGTGTATGAATCTTCGGCTACAAATGTAACATCCAGATCCAAACTATCAAAATTAAGTCAATGTTAAGTAAAATAGCAAATCATTCACAATAGTTACCATCATTACTCTGCACATAAAATTATCACCAAGTAAGTAAAAAATGTGAAACATCAAGCTACTAGATGTATTACCTGTTCTCTGATCGCCTGCGGTATACAAATCTCCTGAGGTATTAGAATATGAAAAGCCAACACCAGCAGGTGATTCAAGAAAGAGCAAATTGGCCACTGTCCAAAAAGAAAGTTACAAACTTGAATTCCACCTTGGCAATATACAGGAACTAAACGAACTGCAGATGACCATAAAGATGCCACTTACATTTGTTCCAAGAATAAGGGTTGAAGAAAAGAGTCTTCCCATCGGGCCTAATGCGAAAAGGACCAATCTCTTCAGCAGCTCCATAAGCTACAGAAGAACAACCTGGCCCTCCATTGAGCCACAAAAGCAGTGGCCTTGATTCAGGTGCTCTGCTAGCTGGTGACTCAACGAACCAGTAAAACAACGCTCTCCCAGCATCCTTATTTACAGTAACATAGCCTGAATACTGTTGAAAATCAACATTGGCTGGCTGCCCAGGCAAGGATTTGATCCTATCTCTTTCTTGGGCTTCATTATACCAAGAATAAGAGTTTCCAAAGAGGAGGAAAATAAGCACGAGGCACAAAGAAACGGATTGCGGGCGACCCATTTACCGAAATCTTCAGAATGATAGATATTTAAATCAAACCCAGAAACACAAATCCCAAAAGATTTCTGGGTTCCCAAGGAACTCTCCCTAGAACCAATAATTTGTGTGATCTGCAACTACCCACATGGGACAAGGGGACTTTATAAGGATGGTGGTAAACATACAAAAAATTTACAAGTGGAATAAAGAAGGGCAAATACAGACGATTATCAAAAAAATTCGCCAAAATCACAGGGTAATTCCAAGATAACAGCAACAAGAAGAACAAAAACCCACACGAATAAGCCCCAAGAAGTGAGACAAGCGCACGGGAAATGTGTATTATTTAGCACGATGAAACTGACGTAATGAAGTTTGAATTGAATCGACCCCAGCAATGTAAGTACAAAATTTTGACAAACCAAGTAACCAACCCACAATAATACTACCCTCTAATTTTTCCGCCTATTTATCTTCCAACACTGTCCTCAAGCATTTCAGAGTCCATACTCCATACTGAAAGCTTGTAATAAAAAAAAGAAAAAAAAATGGAATTGTGGGGGGAGAAAATACTAGTCAAAGAAACATGGGGGGTTCACTTTCACTTCATCACCAGTCTCTATCTTTCGTTACCATTGTTAATTTTATAAATCATTCTTTCCTACTGTTTATTGGTTGTGTATTTTGGATTTTGGAGGCCATGCTTAGGCTGTCTGAGCTCCCAAATTGACTTTGCCTTTTTATGTTTCTGGCATGCCTAACTGGCAATCATTCATCGCAGCCCGGAACGCTCCTCGTGCGGTAAAAAAAAAAAAAAGAGGAGAAAAAGTTAAAAACACTATAAAAGGTTAAAAACTGACATGAGAATCTAGAAGAACCACTTATGTAAGAAGTAAGAACACAGTGTCATAATGTGGATGGGATCTTTGATTTTATTTTATTTTTTCCATAGAATAAAACAAAATAGGAAAAGGGGTTTCACAAAAAGATACTTCTAATTAAAACTAATTTAACTATAGTTATAAGAAGCATGGGCATAAGCAATGATTAAAATGTTGCAGCAGACTCGTTAATTAGGTTAGAGTCATCTAGGCTAGGTGGTCTGTTGAGATTGGACGATTCACCGTCGATTTATTCTCGTAATTATTCTTACCAACGTGTTATAATTATGCAATATCTCATGTGTTTATCTTATTTATTGTTAAAAAAATAAAAAATAAAATAAAATAATACTCCAGCCTGCAACGCAACTAAACTAAGAGTCTAGAGTTAGCCATTTTTTTTCATTGATAATATAATTTTGTGATTTGAACATGAAATGAACGATATTTTTCCTTCTGGTTTTCAAGTTGTACATTGTTTTTCAGCTGGTCCAATTTCGTCTGTGTTGACTGTTGATGATGATGATGACGACTTGTGGAATCGGCGGGTGGTTGTTGTTGAGGTCCATTTTGACTGAATTGGTAAGTATGGAAACTGGAAAGTGGAAAGGTGATGCACATGGGCTATTGTCCATAATAATAACACACACCCTTGTCGTAATAATTTGTAAATACTGGAATATGATTGGCTGGATCACGGAAATATCACATGCATTTCTTGGTCCTGAAAATAAAAAATATTAGAAATTGCGCCGGATATCCAAAAGCACAATGATCGTGGAAGAAGAAGGATGGCTGCTTGATGAGTTTCTCTTCTTTTCTCTTTTTTTTTTTTCTTTTTTCTTCTAATAAACAATTATGAGTAGGCAAAGTCTAGGTAAATTAGCTAATTAATTACATCATGTGGATTGTGTGATACTCTAGACATGAAATTTGTTGTTCTAATGGTGGTATATATATGTAGAACTTTCCCTCATGTCCTTTTTCCGAACTATATATGTAAAAATCTATTTTTCCGAACTAAGTATTGGTCCCTAATAATGTCTCATGCATTTGCCATTCTCGTTCCAATTATCATGGCATCAAAATTTATTATTAACCCATCGATCATTCTTCATGCTGTATGCTCCATGTTACTTATTTCTTTCCACTATCTTTTTCGTTTAGATCGAATGTTGGTTTAAAAAATACCTATTCCTTGTAAACCAAAAGAAAAAAACAAAAAGTATTCCTTTTCAGGTGTTTTTCATACAATTTTTAGTTAAAGCAAGTTTAGTAAGTAAAAAATGTCGTTCCTACCTCAATCTTTGCTCTCGTCGTCAATCATACCCAATAGATTTTCGATTAGCCAACTTCACCCTAATGTTTGAAATTTTCACCAATTTTGTCCAATCGGCCCATTTTCCGTCCAAATTAACGGAACTCCGTCAGTTTTTTAATAAAATAATAAATTTAAATACAAAAATACTCCAGTAGTTTGTAAAAATTTAAAAAATAACCCCTAAAATATATAAAAATAACAAAATAGTCTATTTTCACTTTTTTTATTTCATTTTCTCTATTTTGTTCCATTTCTCTCAACTACTTTTAATGACCATAAAAGTATATTATATGGGTTTTAAAAAAATATTTATTTATTTTCAAACTCTACCGTAAAAGTTAATCTTTGTATAGTTATAACAAGTAATTGTATTTATATAATTATGTTAGTCTTTTTAATAATATAGTTTAGCAATAAACACACTATTTTTCTTATTTATTTTATTCTTCATAACATAAAGATTAAAAACATTTAAATGAAACTAATATTCCACATAAAAATAAAATATTAGCTCAAATAAAAAATAATGTTTATACTTATCAATGCGAAGATTTAATATTTTGTAATAATTATTTGGGATGTTAATATATCTAACTATAGAGGAAGTCTTACTAGCTTATTCTATAAGATTTTAGTTTAAAATAAATGAATGGAGGTAACAATATGGTAATAAATTATTGTGATAGAAAATAGGTTTTAGATTCAAGAAGGAAAACTTATGTTTGGAGGATTTTTTTTAAGGTTTTAATTATTTTATATTTTAGTTATTTTTTTATGAATTATATTAATGCAAGTTATAGTCTCTTGAGTTAAATTGTAATACACTAAAATATATTAATATTTTTATTTGAGCTAATATTTTATTTTTATGTGGAATATTAGTTTCATTTAAATGCTTTTAATCTTTATTTTAGGAAGAATAAAATAAATCAGAAAAATAGTGTCTTTATTGCTAAACTATATTATTAAAAAATTAACATGCTTATATAAATACAATCATGGGTTACAATATACAAAAATTGATTTTTACGGTAGAGTTTGAAAATAAATAAATATTTTTTAAAAACTCATATAATAGACTTTTATGGTCATTAAAAGTAGTTGAGAGAAATGGAACAAAATAGAGAAAAATAAAATAAAAAAGTAAAAGGGATTATTTTGTTATTTTTATATATTTTTGAGGAGTTATCTTTAAAATTTTAAAAATTACTAGGATATTTTTGTAATTAAATTCATTATTTTATTAAAAAACTAACGGAGATCCGTTAATTTGGACGGAAAATGGACCGATTGGACGAAATTGGTGAAAATTTCAAACATTAGGGTAAAGTTGGCTAACCAAAAATCTATTGGGTATGATTGACGACGAGGGCAAAACTTTGGATAGGAACAACATTTTTTCCGGTTTAGTAACTAGGAGTATTTTGGTTGTTCTAAATGTGGAAATGGTATCACGTTGGTTTTTGAAGCAATATCACTATAAATTTGACCCTCAAAAAAAAAAAATTAGAAGAATGTTACAATGTCCCACTTTAAATTTGAAGAATTGTACTCCCTCAGTCCTATAATTATTGTTCAGTTTGAGTTTTTATTTTTAATTTAAATTGCACTAAAAGTGAAATTCGAAACTGGACAATAATTTTAGGACAACGGGAATATTATTTTTGACATAAATCCCAAGAGTTGATGTGGACAATTTTTATTTTTTTTATAACAGCGCGGGTATAATTTTCAGATGTATTGACTAGTTGTTGTGGTAAAGGAGGTGTAGATTATTTTTAGTGCCAAAAGTGGTCCTTTTCTGGAATTAGTTATGCTCAACGACTTTATGTACAAGAAGAGAAGAAGACAAGGTCATTTAGTCAATACCAAGAATGGACAAAATTAACAAATATAACGGGTTTTCTAATGGCGTGATTGCCAAAATAATCATAAAATAGTATAACACATCACTAGATGTTGTAGTATGCCGTGACTGTCGACAATTGGAAATCTAATGTTCTTTTTTTTGGTGGTTTATGTCGTCTCCCACCGCTTCGAACCGATTACAAGTCAAAAGGGATTTATGTTATTATGGTACTTTTTGAATACTGTGTTTCATAATAGATACTAGTAGTATATTACTCTCGTTGTCCCAACTAAATATGAAATTTTAAATTAGACAATTATTTTAGAATGAATGAATTATTTTTTACGTCTAAAAAAACGTTAGTTATATAGTCTGCACGCATGCATGCATCAAAGATAACACATGAAACGTGCATCCGCAATTGCAGTACGTAATTGAACGCTTTTATTACCAAGGCTTGGAGGATATCTTAAATTAATAATGTACCATATTAGCCAAATTTTGGAATTAATTGTCCCAAATTTCTCCATTGAAGAAGAACATGCCTACCATATACTTTCGTAAGAAGACGCGTTGATTTTCTGGAGATGGTTGGATGTGAATTCGTATCTGGATTTTATGTCCTTCCACACCGGAAATCACTCCCATGTTAAAGTGGCCAAATTAATCATGCATATTGTTTGACTTAGGCAGTCGAAAATTCGGTTACTAGAAAAAATGAACTTTTTGCACTTTCTTTCTCTTTATTGGTTACATTATGATATATATGAACTTGTCATTCAAAGAGTGAATGACTTGCAACAATTTAGCTACTGGACGAATCTATAGTGCTTAATTAAAGCAACAAACAAAAAGGATAAGTCTCAACACCACAATGAAAATTTTACTGCCAAAAGCCATTTTCAGTACAAAATTATTTTTGATACGTGACACTCTAATTAATCAGAAAAAAAAAGATAGAATAGATAAATACATAAATCCCTTAATTATAGCTACATAAAAATATCTTAATTATAGGTATATACTAATCCCTTAAAATAACAATATTTAGTTGATAAAATCAAATGCAAGGAAATCTTCTTAAATAAAATGAAACACCCGTAATGTTTTCCCAATCCCCAATTTCAAAAAATCTCTTCCATTCCGCTCCTCTCTCACACCCGGGCCTTTAAATCAATTACGTAAAATCTGACATTAATTATCAATCCATCTCTTTCTACAATAGAGAAAAAATAAGCTGTCATGAAAGAAATTTGATTTTTTGGGGATGATTTTTTTTTTATTCTTCTGTTGTAGATATTGGTTTATGATTTATGTAAACCCGGGCATAAGTTAACTGTTATAAATTAAATGTTGTAAATCATGGCATAGATTTATGTGTAATAACCCATTTTCTGTCTTTTCAATCGATTTTTTATTCTTTTATTTTTTTTTATTCTTTTAAGAATGATTCGTATTTTTAAATTTAAAAATACAGGCGACACCCCGGCCATTCCCCCGGGACAAGCATCTAGTTTAAATAAGAGTAAATACAGTTCAAACATTCTTTTAATTTATTACTCTTGCAATACCATGTGATCCTATGTATAACCGATGGACAAATACATTCCTAGCATAAAAAAGTTTTTTTTTTTTAAAAAAAAAAATCCACATTGAATTTTGAGAGACGAAGTAAATGTCCATACAAACAATCGGAGAACACTCTTAAGAGGAAATTCTCACTAGTCATCTATGAAACATTCGCCTCCTTAATACAGTCTACTGAAGGTGAAACTCGGCAGGTGACAAAGTTGACAGTGATTAATATATATAGACTCTTACAAAATATTCTTACTAGTCTTTATTATAAATTATTTTGATTTGTCTTAAATTTCACTTAATATTTAGAATCCTCATTATAAGTCAAGGACCGAAGAGAGAAGAGTTTTCTCCTAAAG